GATACCGTCGACCACGGTATTCTCCTGGGGAGGCTCTCCGAGTTGGGAATCAGTGGCCTGGCTCTTGCCTGGCTCCGTTCCTTCTTGGAGGATCGTCCCCAGAGAGTGCAGATTGGAGACAGTTTCTCGGCCCTGTGGAGCCTCAATTGTGGGGTTCCACAAGGCTCGATTATCTCTCCAGTGCTGTTTAACATCTGTATGAGGCCACTGGGAGGGGTCATCAGCGGTTGTGGGGCTTCGTGTCATCAGTACTCAGCTCTACATCTCCTTTTTTCCAACAACACTTCCAAAGGCCCCTTGCCTTTGGAACAACTTCCCTGTGGAGATACGCCTGGCTCCCTCTCTGGGTGTTTTCAGGAATAAACTTAAAACCTGGCTTTTGGGCATGCTTTCCCTCCTGCCATATCTTAATTTCTTATACTTCGCCATCCTGGACCTATAATATATGTTTTTGGTTTTATTGTTTTTAAATTTGTAAACTACCCAGGGCAAACCTTTGGTCTAGATGGGCGGGATAGAAATCCAATGAATGAATGAATGAAATGAATGAATGAATGAATGAATGAATGAATACTGCATATTTTGGAGGAAAAATTAATATAAGATCCAGGCTTATTTTGGGGGAAACATGGTATATATAGGGATGTAGGTGTTACATACCAAAATCTCATGTAAATATCAGTATATACTGATATTCTTCTGCTTTAGTAAGGGTATAAACTGGTAGTTGGAAAAGTAGGATATAAGCATCCATTCATTACCTTTCTGAACCAGCTTTTCTTCCAAATTGCTACTTTCAGTGGTGCACAAAATTTGAGATCATCAGCTCCACCAAGAAGATAGTTATATTATATAAAAAGCCACAACATTAAAGCTGTACTACGTATGTTTTAATCCTTATTTAAAAGTTGTAAACCCAAGGTAGCCCTGCAGACTTCATGCATGCACACAGAAGTTGATGTTCTCGGATCTTTATCTGTATACTCCACTTCTCTGCCTGAGTGCTTAGAAGGAAACACCATTTACTGTATTTCACATGTAGATGGGCTTGCCATCTTTTATACTGTTGTGATAGGTTTTGTTTTATAAGGTGACAAGTCAGTAACAATTGTGCTGCATATAACCTATGATGACATAAGTCATGCACAGAGATTAGTATGGAAGTTTTTATTTATTTTCTCTATTTTAAAGACTTTGGTTTTGACAAAATTATAATTTTTCCTGAATAGTTCATAATCTTTTTAATTAAGTGGAAGAAAATATACAATGATACCATAATATCAAATCTCCAAATATGTTTTGATTTCTATGCCTCAAAGAATGCAAAATATCTATTATTGGAAAACAAAGGTCTGAATAAAATGTGTTTTTTTCTTATTGAGTAGACGTTGTCTAAAGGGGCAGGGTATAAGTCTAAATAAAGTAAAGTAAGTTATTGTACCTTTTTATGGAATTAGGGCTTTTGAAAAAAAAAGGGTCATGTTGAAAAATAAAGAAATAATCTTCAATTTAGAGACTTTAGAACTTGTTGATGAAGCTTGTGAGGCTTGTTTATTGTTCTTATTATGTATTGCAGTCAACATTCCCTCTAAGTTTCTGTCTCACCGTGCAGGAGCCTTGCTCCATGTGCTTAGGGGTGGGCAGGGCTTCATTGGAAACAGGAGGTAAACAAACTGGCTGCTGGCTGCCTGTGCACAACCCTGATGGAGTTCTGGGTGAGCTCACATGCATTGTTAGAGGGAACCTTGATTGTAGTAAAAACAAATAAATGAAATGGGGAAGTTTCTGGACCGTTATGTTATTGTTATAATTGTTTATGATCTTGGTTCTATGTTAGGGTTAGAAGCGCCACGGTACAATTAATAAATATATTGGGTAAGTTTCACCCAATAATGGACAACATCAAGAAGATTTAGGACAGCTAACATCAAGTGTTCCATAGTTCATGCTGAAAGATATAGAGTATATTGACACAGGTGTGAAGTTGCCTGTTCTCCGCACTTGTGAAGGACTTTCGTAGCTTCTCTTCTCCGAAGTCCATTCCATAGCCTTTTAAGACACTGCCAATTTTCTGTACATATGACTGGGGACCAAACTTTCCTGGGGCTCTATCCATTTTAAGAAGTGGATTGTTCTTTCTTCCCAGATTATAGTCCTCACATTCTCTGCTGTACATTCAAGATTCACAGATGCTATAAAAATTTTTTCACCATGATTGTAATCTGGGAGCAGATGAATAGTAGATGTAATTTTGATGTAGATACTTTGAGTATTTCCCTGTTACCTGCTGATTCTCTCTTGGTATGTCACAGGGTGCAATGCCTGCCAGGTATCTGATTTTATTAAGAAGGATTAGCTTCAGGCATCCAATAATGATTCTATAGATTTTACTGAATGCTATATCTATGCATTTTGCATAGGCTGAACTATACCACACTGAGCTGGAGTATTTGTCTTCTGCAGACTATCAGGTGCCAGGGCTGTAGATTTTACTATATATATGTGTTGTCTTCAAAAGTTAAAGAAAATTTGTGATTTTTCAAGAGGTTTTCTATTACTTTATTTTTATTATTTTATAATCCTTGGTTAGATTATAGAATTTTTGCAGCAGTTCTTGATGAATAGCGTCAGAGGCAATCAAGAGTTCAGCAAAAGCTACCTCAAGGATTTTCCTATTTTCAAATCTACCCTAAATAGTTGCATTAAATATAGGATTTGTACTGTAGAGTTCTCCTCAAGTCTAAAGCCACCCTGTTGTGAGAGTGGTTGCAGTACTTCCATTAGATGGTTATGAATCATTCTTGGCTCTTTTATACTTTTTGTTGACAAAAATAGTATTTGTTGCTCAAATGAGCATGTGTGATCAGGCCAACTAGATATTATGTGAAACTAGAGAGGTAATCTATAGTCATATAATATTCATTTTAGTAGGCTTGTAACGGAACATCAGAGGTTTCGAATATGTGATATCTAACATGATTATAACTGAGGAATAAAGAAACTTGACCATCTTACCTTGTTTCCCCTAAAATAAGACCTAACCTGAAAATAAGCCCTAGTATGATTTTTCAAGGTGCTCGTAATATAAGCCATACCCCAAAAATAAACCCCAGTGAAGTGAACCCCTCCCCTCCCCTATTGTGCAGCAACTGGAAGAAGATGACATGATTGCATTTGAATAAATGTAGATTGTTGTACATGAAAAATATAAAACATCCCCTGAAAATAAGCCCTAATGTGTTTTTTGGAGCAAAAATTAATATAAGACCCTGTCTTATTTTTGGGGAAACACGGTAGGTACCTAGAACTAAGCTTACTATCATATACATATTTTAAAATACAAGTCATTGTTTTAATAATGATTCCTATTGTAAAACAAGGTCTCTTCAAGATATCTCTTGCTGGTGCTGTGAAGTTGGTATTTCAAGTATGTCTATCTGCATCTAAATTAGTAGCTCCAAGACAATCAGATTATGTAGTAGTTACTTTGGTGAGAATATCGCGTAAGTGGAATGGAAACTTCATTTTGAGTCTAATATTAGACCTTGCTTTGGAAAATTCCTTTTAAATGATCACAAGCTGGGAATAGCAAAAGAATTTAACTTTCGACAGACAGCATTCACAAAGAATTTGTTATTAACTGCTTATGTTGGGTCCCTGGGAAAGCAGATGTGAAGCTTATGAAGCTGAATTGGTTTGACCTGATGCAGTGTTTATGTCAGTTGTTGATAAGGTTCCCTCCCCTTCCAAGATATGTTCATTCTTTGAGCATGAGTGAGCTCAATAGGATAGTTTAAATTCTTGTTAGTTTAATAAATCTCAGTTTCTTCCACCAAATTCTTTTTGTCTACAAACAAATTCACTGAAGACTCAGTCAAATTATTTTTGTTTTGTTTTTTGCCCTGCATCAGGAGTATAGAGGTAGTCAGGGTAGTAATCTTGGAACTAGACTTTGAGTGTTTATCTAGTTGTAAATGAGCATAGTGTGAATAAATATTCATAGAATTGCAGCCTATAATAAATCTATAATTTATTATTTATTGTAGTTTATATAATAAATCGGTAATTGGTTATGTTGGCATGCAGGTGCCTTGCTCTGACCCTGAACAACTAGAATAGTCTGCACTTAGCCTGACTAGACTTCAGTTATTTATTTTCATAGTGACTTCCCAGTATTTGAGTTCAGCACAGTTGTAATAAATAAGCATTGGATGGATCCTAATGTACCACTAGTGACAGAAACAGAAATGGGTATATACAGCATATTGAAACAAATGTAAACCAATGTTCTTATAATGACCCATAATTTGCCATTAATATTCATTGCATTTCTGACAAACTGGACTTCACATTACAAAAGGCAAGACCATATTATTACATTTAGCCAAATATCTCTGAGAATAGTATATTGTACAATTGTTTGATTATTGTATTCTGTTCCATTTGATTATGGTACTCCTAGCAACATGCTGGCTGCCACTATGGTAAGAACTGTTTCTCTGGAGTTCCTCATGTGATTGAATTCAGCTTTTACCATTGCAGTAAACATTCATTCTGTGTGTCAAAGCAGTAGTAAATCACTTCTGGAAGGAATATTAATCTGTTGTAGTAATTCAAACTCTTCTGTCATACCACAGAGGTTTCTAGGTATCTGTAATATAAGATTTCTGATACTAGATTTGTCAGATGCTGATATTGGTGGTCATGGTGAAATGGAAGAAATAGGGAGATAGGCTTAACATTATACAAAATTGTTCTTGAATGTTTTCAACACTTGTTCTTTATGGTTGCTAGACTGTTTGAAAAGTTCTGTTTGAAAATGGTTCTAGGCTGTCTCTAATAAAATGTTAGGTAGGCATTTAAATAGCATTCCCCCCAAATTGGCACTATTCCTTTAATTATCTGTTCTTGCATTGCAGGATCCGTATATTTCATTCTGAGAGTGGCTGCCCCGTAATTCTTCTATAACATCTAATATTTTGGTCTACTACTCTGTGCAGGTAAATCTCACTTGGCAATAGTGCAGCGGGTGAACAATGAAGGGGAAGGGGATCCTTTTTATGAAGTCTTGGGCATTGTTACCTTGGAAGATGTAATTGAAGAAATCATCAAGTCTGAGATTCTAGATGAAACAGATCTATACAGTGAGTATTAATTTTTTTCTCTCCTCCAAATAGTCCAGATTTTTTTTCTTCTAAGAATTTTTTTTAAGATAAGCTGCTTTGATAAATTATGAGGTAAATTTGGAATACTAGCCGCATTGAAACCACTTGCCCTACCCATCTGTGTATCCTGACAGGAAAGCCATGGCCGGCAATACCATTGTAGACAAAGTAAGCCATCCTCCTCAAGCGACATGTATTGAGAGGCAGGGAGGAGGACAGAGCTCTGTTTGACTTGCAGCTTGCCATGTGCACTCTGAGCTAGCTAGCATTCCTTAGGTATGATAGAAGACACCATCTTCTTGTCAGTATTGGAGTGAATTTCTTTTATGCATAGAAATAGGGAAATGGAGAGATGCTGTCTTGTCCCAGACACCATGAAGTTTATTGGTTGCCCTTATGGAAGCCTCTTATCTATTTTGCTCTAAAAGGTCAGAAGGTCAAAACATTGCTCCACCCTAATATTGTTTCCTATCTTCTCAAAACTGATGTAAGTTAGCAACAGATATAGTTTGAGCGTTAAATTAATTGATTTTTTTGAAGATGTCCATTCATTTTATTGCTGTTGTTATTACATAGGCACCTTTGAGCAATGGTATCTTGCAGACTTTTGAAACTGTCCTAAACTGTTGTTACCAGACAAGGAGTAGGGTGACTATAAATCACCAAGCCTTTATTTAATCAATCTTCAGTTTTCTATGACATCAATTTTTGTTCTCAGTGTAATTATAAGAGAGAATAAGTGCACCTCTTTCATGCTGGGTGGTTACCACCTCTGCTCTAAAAGTAGATTTTGTCAAACTTATTACATAATTGTTGAGATCCTGTTGCTTAGCATAGTAACTCACACTACAGTAGACCCTTTAAATTATTGGAGATTTGATGAATCAACACCTCTGCAAGTTCCATTGATTTAATGGGCCTACTTTAGTTGTGACTTATGCACATTGTCACAACTAGAATAAGCGTATTTGAATCAGTGGAACCTCTGGAGAAATTGACTCACAAAATCCCCTCTGATTCAATGGTCCTACTCTCATAGACTTACTGTACTAAGCAACAGGATATCAGTCATGATCTAACCATAATACAGCTTGAATGCTAAACATTTAAATAATATTTGATATCTGTTGCAATTGATTGCATACAAAAATGTTAATTATAAAATTTATTTTTATCTTCTTTATGCCCTGGCTTTCTCCCTTGTAGGACCCAAGGTGGCTTACAACTTGAACTGAAAACATAAAACTAAGAACAAATAAGTTATATAATAAAACACAGTTAGACGTTAAGCCGTATTATTTTAATAATACAGTGGTGCCTCGACTTATGACCATAATCCGTTCCAGAAGATGGATGTAACTCGAAATGGTCGTAAGTCGAATAACCATTTCCCATAGGAATACAGTACATTGGAACATGATTAATCCGTTCCAGAAGAAGAAGAAAATAGTAAAAATTAAAATAAAAGTAAAACACTGCAAGCCCCATAGGAATGTGCTGGGGCTTTAAAAAAAAACAACAATCAAAAATAAACAGAGCAAGCCCTGAAGGCGCTGGGGCTTAAAAAAACAAACCAACCAAAAATAAAGCGCACAGGAAGCCCCATTGGAAGGTGGTGGGGCTGCAAAAAATAAAAAATAAAAAATCACCAAAAAACAAAACAACAGAGCACAGAAACATAACCCCCTCCAGCCGAAAACCACCCTGCAAAAGCCACCTAGAACAGTTTTTAAAAAGAAAAAAGCAGGACCTTACCTGACCAGTCCGAACCCCCTCCGATGGCACTCACTCGCTGGCTTCTGCCGAGGTGGTGGCGGCGGGGCTGGCCATAGCGGAGGGCGAGGCTGGGGCAAGGGGCTGGAGCGCCCCGGCCAGAAGGAGCCTCTCCTTCCAGTGTCTGGAGAAGTGGATCACGGTGGAGGGGGGCGGGCATGGCAATGACGGTGGCCCGGGCCAGGCTCAGCTGCGCTCCGTCCTTGGCCCCGCGGGGGCGGCTCCCCTTCTCTGCCGGCAGGCAACTCCTGAGCAGCAGTGGCTCACCTGCCGGGAGCACCTGATGCCGCCTCCCACTCCGGCACTGGCTCCTCGTCACCCTCCGTGGGGCCGATGCTGCTGCTGCTGCTGGGTCCCAGTACTCGGCCTCGGCATGGGGGCAGAGGGTCCCCTGATCACAGCTCCCAGAGGAAGGGTCCTCCCGCTCCGCCGTCCTCCTCCCCCGGTGAGCAGTTGCCGTGCTGGAGCGGGAGGTGGTGTTGGGCACCCCCGGTGGATGAGCCACCTGCTGCCCAGAAGCTGCCCGCCAGTGGAGAAGGGAAGCTGCCCCCACAGGGCCAAGGACTGAATGCGGCCCCGCCAGGAAGGAGGCGGCGGTGGCGTGGAAGGACCCTTCCTCCAGGAGCCGGGATCGGAGGCCCCTCCGCCCCCGAGGCCAACGACTGGGATCCCACCATCAAGTGCGGTAACGCCCCTGCTGCAGCCTCTCCCCACTGCTGCATCCCTTTCCCTAACCATTGGGGCAAAAGAGCTACAAAAAAGTAGCCTCTTTGCCACCAACGGTTTGAATTTCCTGCCTTTTCCCCCTGCCTTTTCCTGGGTGTAACTCAAAGCTCCAGCTGCAAGTCGAAGCAAAATTTTGCAGCCGGAGCTGGTCATAACTCTAAATGGTCGTAAATAGGGACGAATGTAAGTCGAGGCACCACTGTATAACTAGATGTGTTTTAATGGTTTTAAATATTTGTATTTTGATGATATAACTTACTTTGTTTTTAAGTGTACTTAAATATCCTGCAAGGGAACAAGGTTGGATATAAATACAATATATGAATAAATAGCCAGAATCCTATTATTTGTGTATGCTGGTTTAAGTTATATGATATAACTCTCAGTAGCAAATATATGTACTCTCACTGTGTGTGTGTGTGTGTGTGTGTGTGTGTGTACTCTGGGCAGCTCTCAGGAAATAAAAAATATACAGCAATTTAAAAAATGAACATAGAAAAACAAATTGCTGTACAATTGTAGTGCCTCATTCACAAAATTTTTACAAGAGAATAAGACAACATGAGCTTCAACTTGTAGGCCTTCTGTGTTTTCCCACTTTTTTCCTGTTTTTTCTTCTAGTCATTACAAAAAGCCATTGGCCAAGAAAGGGAAGGGGAGATGGAATAGCTACATAAGATCTTTTGAGCCTGAAAGGATGCAAAAACTGCTTTAGCTAATTTAGCTGTAATTTCCCATGCAAAATTATGCTCAAGGCATTGCAACAAAGGCTTTTTACCTTATATGGATACAAGAAATGCCTGATGTTCAGTCTGGATTCTGAAAAGGAAGAGGCACTCAGGATCATATCGCGAATGTCTGCAGGCTACTGGAGTTCACCAACAATTTCAGAAAAAGGTCAGACTACACTAAAGCCAAGCCTTTGACTGTGTGGATCTTGAGAAACTACAGTTTTTTTCCCTGAAAGACACAGATGTGCCTCAGCACTTCATTGTCTTGATGTGTAGACTGTATTGTGGACCCGAAGCTACTGTAAGGACAGACTTACAGTAGAATAGTTTCCTATGGGCAAAGGTTTCCTATGGGCAAAGGTGTCAGAAAAGGGTGCATTATGTCCCCTTACCTGTTCAGTCTGTACACAGGACATATCATATGGAAAGCTGGACTAGATTCAAATGGAGGACTGAAAACTGATGGAAGAAACCAATAATTTGAGATATGTAAATGACGCAATCTTACTGACAGACAGCACCAGTCATTTGAAACACCTAAGGAAAGTAAAAAAAAATGTAACAAAACAGGACTGCAGTTAAACATTTAAAAGACAAAATCGTGACCATGGAAGAAATACACAACTTTAATGTTGATGATAAAGAAACTGAAATAGTGAAAGATTTTGTGTACTTTGGTTCAGTCCTCAATCCAAATGGAGACACAGCCAAGAAATCAGAAGACTGAGAGTAGAAAGGGCAGCAATAGAGGAACTGGAAAAGATAAACATCAAAGGATGTGTCACTGGAGACTAAGGCCAAGATCATCCACAGTCTTGTATTTCCAGTCACTAGGTATGGATGTGAAAGCTGGACAATAAAGAAAGATGATGGGTAAAAAATGATTAATTTGAGATATGGTGCTAGAAGAGAGCTTTGCAGATATTCCGGACTTCCAGAAGGATGAAAAAGTGGGTACTAGATTAAATCAAGTCTGAACTATCTCTGGAGGCAAAAATGATGAAACTGGAGTGTCCTACTTTGGGCACATCATGAGAAGGCAAGATTCTTGAAAAAAAAGGTATTGTGATAAGTAATGGTGGCAAAAGGTTGAAGGCAGCAAGAAAAGAGGAAGACCAAAATACAAGATGGATTGACTCCCTAAAGAAACCCACAGACCTGAATTTGCAAAGATTGAGCTAGACAGTTGGGGATAAGACATTTTGGAGACCTCTCATTCATATAGGCACCATGAGCTGGAGGTGACTTGATCACACATAATAATGACAAATCAAATTAAAATATAATCTACCCAACAGAGTATATGTCAGATTGTTCCCTTAATTCGTCAACTAAATTAAATATTAAGATGCCAGGTGAGGTCACCTTTGTAGAAACAGTTTCTTCCTGCTCTACCACAACTTTATAAAGAAAGGATGGAGACAAATTGAGAGGCAGAGGCTGAGAGGTACAAGTACTTATCTTGTACCTCTCAGCCTCTGCTTCTCAGTTAATGGAATCTCAGTGGATATGAGTGAAGCAAAAAAGGGCTAAAAAGGGACAGCTAGAGAGTCATGTAGTACTGTGGTTTTTGTTTGATGTTTATGCCTGTAAGGTAGATGACTCATGTGGTGTAAAAAGATTAAGCCTATCTGTGAAATTTCATAGAGGATCCATTTTTTAATTTTGCTTTTACTGCAGAGGATATGTATTTACTAAGTAACTTATTTCATATTGAATGGCTAGTCTACTACAACTTCTTTGGCTTTATTTGTTTATTATTTTGATATACAGTAGGCTGAATTGCCCATTAAATAATCAAATATTTCAACAAACATAAATCATGTTAATACTTTTAGCTACTATTATTAAAAAATCCTGTTGTTTTGCAGTTTCTTCTCCATTGTCCTTTTCTTTAACAAACAGAATCAGCCAGTATAGTTACTATTATACCTTGTACAAGGCACCAGAGCCACCTCTGTATCTCTTGCTTTGTAAAGTCCATTTAGCTCACTCTAACTTAATACAGATTTCTCATAGGCCTGACTTCAAGTATGAGAGAAATGTTTTATTGCCAATAGATCTTTTCTCCAGCATTCTCATGATGATTCGTGTGCTGAACGGAGACATTTCTTATGTGCTGCAGACTCAGATCAGAGGTGTAGGTTTCCAGTTTCACCTGTAACATGTAATGTGTGCCTCTACTTCCAGAAATGCATGCCTCTATTCCCAGCCAAAAAAAGAAAAAAGAAAAGAATCATGTGATGCTGAATGTTTGCAATCCTATGTCTAACATAATTTGGAGAAACATTCTAATCTGTAACACCATAGGTGAAATTCTGAACTGATACCTCTAAGTTGAGTCTGCGGCCCTCTTTTTAAAAACATGTTTTGAACAAAGATGTTCGACTTGCACATCAGATTTCTGGAACTTTTATGTTTTTTCCCCCTGTCACCCACAATTCTATGGTGCCCTGCAAGGATGGTGAAGATCCATGCAGGGTCAAAAGTTAGCTTATGTTTGTAGTCTAATTCAGGTGTTGCGAACTCTTGCCTTCAAATTCTGTACAAAGGTGACATGGTGTGTCCCCCCCCCCTCCATTTCCAGTGCTGACATAGCCATGCTAAAAATGCCAGGCACTGGCTAAGATCTCCCCTTGGGCTGACACTAGGACTTAATTGCTTGCTCTTTGTCTCTGAGCACAGCATGGAAGCAGTGTCATGAGTTCATTCACTACCAACTTGTATTAGAAAAGATGGAATTATGCAAGTAGCAAAGTGCAAATACCATCACACTTTTGTAATCAAATGGATTCACCTTTATTTACATAGGTGCACCTGTACAACTGCCGCTTGTAATACTTGTTCATATAACCTCTGGAATGTGTTTTTGAGAATGAGATGATCTCTGTGTTATTCTTGTTTCTTTATGACATTTCTCAGGGTTCATCTTGTGCTAAAATCTAATTATTATTTTATTTCTCCATCTCCAGCTGATAACAAAACCAAAAAGAAAGTAGCTCATCGGGAAAGGAAGCAGGACTTCTCTGCCTTCAAACAGACAGATAGCGAAATGAAGGTTAAAATCTCACCACAGTTACTCTTGGCAATGCACCGTTTCCTAGCAACAGGCAAGTGTGGCTTATGCTAGTTTGATCAGTTTGGTGTCCAGCAATTAATTTCTTAAAGCTTGGTGATATGATGGGTGGGGCAGTGCAGTGTGGCAGAGAGATCTGACTGGAGAGTGACATACCATGCTTTTCCTGCTGCCCTTTGCCTAGTAAATGCTCTCCTATGTTCAGTTTTCCATTAACTCTTCAGACATAAATGTTAGGTGGGCCAGCAATTGAATTATAAAGGTGGCCTGGAAGACTGGTATAAGTAGAAGTGCCACACTGCAAGTGTAGACAGAAGACCAAACTATGTATTGTAGGGAAATCTACTCAACTTTCTCTTCACTCTTTTAATGTAAAGATCAGGAATGTTTGGTGCTGTGGATGCTTTGAGTTACAGTTCCCAGAAACTCTTACCATTGATCAGGCTGGTTTGGGCTTCTGAAAGCTGTAGCTCAAAACAGCTCTCAGGCTGAAGTTTCCCCAACCTGCTTTAGTGAAGAAGCTTTTTCTGGAGGCCATCGACAGACATTGCACTGGAATGGAATGTGTGTCTTTTTCCTGTGGGAAGAAAAGTAATGTAAAGAGCAACATTTTCCTTCTAGCTTGTCCTTTCTCCACTTCCAAAAGCAATTTCCAACGAGTGCTGTTCATTAAATTGATAGGTGAGAGGAGAGTTAAACAGATATTCACATAAGGTAATTGAACCTTAACTTCAAGTAAATTTTCCTGAAAGAAAATGCTCAGGATATAATTGAAAACTTTGTACTGATTACCTTGTGTGGAAAACTGTAACTGGCTTTGTTGATTCTGATCAAGCTTCTGATGAAGTGGGCTTCAGTCTTTCAGGCTTATGACAAACAAACCCATTGTACTTTCAAGTGCTGCAAGGCTTTTTTTGGGAACAGCTGCTAGATGAAGGGTGAGAATGCTGCTTTATTATTTATAGGATATAGATTGGACTACACATGTATTAGACTTTTGATTTAAATGTAACGATTGACTGTGGGGTGATAATGTAGTATTTGAGACAAATAATGAGGTGTCAACCACTTCCTCAATGGGCAGGAATAGTCCAACATGGACTAAATGCTTGACAACATTTTTGGAAGTTTTAGTGTTGTCTCAGAATGTTGCTTTAATTATTTTTTTAAAACCAGTACCATGCCATTAGAGTTAATCAACATAAGAATGTATAAGAAGTTTTGTATCCTTCCTTCCTTCCTGCCACCACCAGGTGATAGTGTGTTTTTGTTCTGTCTTATTCTGATTTGCTCCAGTGCACAATTTGCTTGCACAGGCCACAGTACTGCATTGATCCGTGCACTTTGGAGTGTCTGTTATCTGGTGACATTTCCTGATGGGCATGTTTATGCTGGTCAGGCTCCAACTCTCCACACTCTATCACTGCTCCTATTTAGTTTTCGTTCTGCATTCTGCTTTTAATTTTTTAAAATGCTACCACTTTTGCTCCATACTGCAAAAGTTAAATTAAATAAATAAAATCAAACTGAAAAAGCAATGCAGTGGAAAGGTGGAAGCTTGAGAACATTGAGTAGATAAAACAAGATGGGAAGAGAAAAAAAAGTAAAGTAGGCAGTGAATGGGTAGAAAATGTAGCCAAAGAGGATGGCAGTCTATGTTTATGGTGAGACCTGGAGCAACAATTCCAGATATTTGTGGACAGCTGCTAGTGGGAGGACCCAGTGCATTCTACTACATATGTCAGCAAATACTGTATGTCCAAATGTCTAGATGCCAATACTGGGCTGATACATATAAATCTGCATCAAAAAACACCAGAATTACATAGAACAAGCCTAGAATGACTGACAACACCATCATCATGTGGACAAGCTATTAAGACTGTGTAGAAATGCAGCATCACACAGGGTTGTTCTTCGGCTGTGAATTGTTTTTCTCCCTCCCCATCCATGCCTAGAGAGGCTGAATATTCAATTTGGAAGTGTAGTTTATTTCACGTCTAGAGGGGTGGCGTGTGTTGACTACAAGCATAGCCATATGGCCAGTTGTTGAACTGTTCAGGGGACACTGAGCCAATTAGAAAACTATTCAGTTTAATCGAGGAAAGATAGAGATGCACACATTTTTGGGAATAAAATTAACTTCGTTTTTACTCAAAGCAACACAGAATTAGGAAACAGAATGTTTTGCCTGACCTTTTAAAGAAATAAAACATTTTATTTTTAAAAAAATGAAGAAACTGTTATAGTTTCAGGCAGACACTTGATGAATTAAGTGGTATTATTGTGAAAGTACTCGGAATGTTTTAATGAGTGGGTCAACTTTGTCACAGGTTTTTTTTTAACCCTTGGACCTGAAAAATAGGTCTGCTAATGTTTTGTGTATTCAGTAGAAATTAGCAATCCATGTGACTCATCTACTGTACTGTGGGTTATATGTCAAGTTGTTTGTTTTTTATATATATCTTTAGAGGTTGAAGCATTTGGCCCATCCCAGATGTCTGAAAAGATCCTGCTAAGGCTTCTAAAGCATCCCAATGTGATTCAGGAATTGAAGTATGATGAGAAGAACAAGAAAGCCCCTGAATACTACCTCTATCAACGAAACAAACCTGTTGATTACTTCGTTCTAATCTTACAGGTCAGGCCTCTGACTGTTTGAGCATCTGTCTGTCCTGCAACCTGCATTCTTAGCATTACAATACATAGTTACATTGCCTAGAATTTCCAGCTTACCTTCCTGTGTATTCTTCTGGCCTTGCACTATGTTAGGTCAAGCTAGGCAAGATGCATGTAATTAGCAGATACATTAATAAATTTTATGAAATAAAGAGCAGGCATAGATCCTATGCAGATTTTGGATCTTCTAGTGAGATCCTTGCTATTCACATTGAAAGAAGCGGCTTCCTCTAATGAGAATGAAGGCTTTGTTTTCTTAATGCAAAGGGTGGGAAGGCAGGAGGAGAGGTGGACTGCATAAAAATAGCAGAGGAGTGATGGCTGAAACACTCCTCAACCTACCCCACCCTGGATTCCCAGATGCCTGCTCTGTTTAGAAGGGCCATTCTTGGAACCAGTTACAGTATTGTGTGAATGGTGTCTCATCAAGTTTGGTAGTTAGCCGCATAGTGAAACATTTTTTTTTAAATTGTATACTGCACCATATAGTGGACGTGCCACTAATCTGGTAGATTACCAAGAGTAAAATAAGCATACAAAGTACAGCCAAATCCCACCCAAACCAAACATATAAAACAAGATATATCTACGTGTGTAACAAAACAATAGATCTAAAAATTAAGATGGCAATGATTTTCAGTAAAATAGAGAATATGTTCCTATTTTTCTGTTTGGAGTTCTGATTAAGGTTTTAAAAGGCATGCATTCACTATTATAAAAATTGAAGATATTTTTATGTAGTTGACATTGGTAGATATTTATGTGAATGCTTTGGGGAGAGACAAAAAGTATTTTGGTTTACTATGCTTAAAGAGAGTGAAAATCCATATAGAATGAAGACTAGTTAACCAGTTGATATTTAGGAAGTATTAAAATCATTTTTCATTGGCTTTGGTTAACCTTAATGACATTGTCAGATGGCCAAATCCAGTTGGCTGTGTAAATACTGTATGATGTAAATTATGTTCGCTAGGCAATCCTTGATTTTACTGGCATGATCTCAGTCAGAGGAGAAAGTCCCAACTGTACAACAAAAATGACTCCAGAGCAGGGAAGAGACTCAAAATAAACTAGCTGCAAACAAGATCAAAGGTAGGCATATTTTTAGGTCAAAATTCAAAGCTGGTTGTCATTTGATGCAGTCCGCACAAACAATTTTAAGATTTTCCAAAGGAGTTAGTCTGTCTCAGCATATTGGCAAAATCAAAGGGGAAGAAAGAAAAGACGAGAGAGAGAGAGCGCACAAAATATTGCAGCACTTTAGAAGACTAATAGATTTATTTCAGTGTGAGTTGTGGATCAAAATCTGCTTCTTCAGATCCAAGAAGTACAAATGCATACACATAATTCTTTTTTTCTACAGTAGCCACTTAAAGATCCATAACAGAGTGTCCTGGGATGAATGGACCGAAATTGGACATCAGGAATGGCAGCAAAGAGAAACCAGTTTCTGAACAGCCTCTCAGAGGACATTCTGATATGGAACTGAAAAGCTATTGGAGAAAAGGGAATTACAAACAGAGGCACAAGAGGGAAGCAGCAGAAATTGACTACATAAATACATTATTTTGCAGCTCTGGGGGCTTAAATAGAGATCAATGTTTATTAGTTCTAGTTCTTAGACTGTTACATACATTAGCAACCTAGATTTCCCTAACATCTTATGGGTATAAAATAGTTATCTCGCATGACACTCTGACCTCTTCCCAAAGGAACTCTTAGCATTCCTGTGATTACTACATCTACGTACCTTGGTAGAATCTAGTAATTCAACTAATTAACAACTTGATAGTCCCATTCCTGTGTTAACAAACTGTTGTCACTTTTTTCTGTTATCAGTGTCCTCACTTGATTATGGAGATACAGTATGTATAAATATAGACAAATATTTCACTACTTATGTTTGAAAAAGTACATTTTGATCCACAAAAAAGCTCACACTGAAATAAATCTGTATTTAAAGTGTCCCAGTATATTGTTTTTTTTGTTATCTCTATCCCTCTTTTCTTTATCTCCTCTTTAGTTTGGCCAGTAGTTTTAGGATTTGTTTTCTGTAGACTCAGGACGGAACACTTGCCAGCATTTTTAATGACCCAGTCGACTAATATAGTGGGAGAACAGCACCACCTACTGACTTGCTGATTCTGCTCTTACTTTACTTTTAGAATATGGGTTTGATACCTCTACAACTTTTGAAATATCCATGCAAATGCAGGTACCTTCTTGAAATGTGCTGCTTGACCGGACTGTTTCATATTTTATCATATTACCTGGCTAGGTTTCCTTCTCTGTTTTTGCACAGAACTGATCATCCTCTAGTTCTGCTTACTATATATTTCAGAAGGTGATTTTTAGGCTGGCTGGGAAAGCTGCCTTAGACAACTGATTTTGGATGACACAAACATGATTATTTATTCATTATAATTGTCTTTTATCACTAAGAAAGGGGGAGAGGCACTTGTCACTTGTAGAATTATCTATTTCATATACCAAAACAACGTAGCTGATGGATAAGAGGAGGTATCTAATTTGCCCAGGCTAGCAAAATGTCTGAGGCTGATCCTGTGAATGTATTGGTAGTCTGAACCCCCTTCCCCCGTGGCCTGTTTTTCTTGAAATAGTTTTCTTCATTTGATCAATGAAAAAATTCCCACCCCAATGTTGGCCATGCAGTGTTTCTTGCTTCAGAGTGAAATAGGATATGGAAATTGAGTCTATGAGATGGCTAAAATATTTGTACATAGCAATCTTCTACATCTTGCAGACAAGTTTCAAAGAACCACAACAGCTCAAGTGTGTATTAACTTGTTTTGAAAGCTAAGTACTGCAACTTAAGCCCATCATCTTTTTATGAAATAGATATTTAAGATTTAAATGTGCCATATTGAAGAAGAAATCAAGAATCCTCTGATAGCTAGCCAGGCTTTTTGTGTGTGTGTGTGTGTGTGTGTGTGTGTGTGTGTGTGTGTGTGTGTGTGTGTGTGTGTGTGTGTGTGTGTGTGTGTGTGTGTGAGAGAGAGAGAGANNNNAGAGAAATACATGTACAGTATTAGTTTTTTCTCTTAGTATGTTCTTTAAAACTCAGCTAGCAAATATCAGTAAGACTGTGTATTGGTTTTGATTTCCTTTTGTTGGAAGCTGAACGTGCAGGTATTTAGTTTCAAAGTCAGTTTCAACCAAGTGTTGCCACATGCCTATGGATGTAACATCTGAGTCTGCTACATGACAGAGAAACATTATAAACAGAGGCAGGATAGAAATATTCTGTGGTTTAAGACTTCTGGCTTAAACTCGAGAGCAGGTAGAAGCATTCTGTTTCCTTTTTTTTTTCTGTTTCATTTAACTCTGACCTAAAAGGTCTCCGGTCCCGAGCATGGATATGCACATAGCTGCTAACTCAAAAAAAAAAAAAAACCATGAATCTTGGGGTTCTAATCCACAAATAAATTACTGTATGCCATAATAATTTGTTAATTTTTAAATAATCACAATAATTTACTGTTTTTGGAGAAACAGGTTAATGTGGTTAGCCCCCTGCACATATTTTGGTATGGATTTGTATATTATAGCTTATATGAAGTATAACACTTGGTGTGACATCAGAATGGAATAGACAAATTATGTATACATATGGTCTTAGCAAGCCACTGCAATTAGAGCTGGAAGTAGTGAGCAGACAAAAATGAAAGTATATAAGCAGGTGTAAACCAAAGTGTACCTATCTGAATTCAAACTATAGTTTGATGTAGTGGGTTGACTTCCATAGTGTTGAAATTCAAATAGTCTTCTAGTGGAAGCCACTATACACACTTGGGCCCAGATTCAGTACTGATACAGTGCTAGCAGCTGTACATTTTACACACTTGCAAAGAAGGATTCCATATGTCTTTGTGCACATGGTTTCTGTCATTGTACAAAGGCTGAGAGGCTGATTTATGAGACCTAGATCTGTCCCTCACCAAAAGCTGCTGCCAGATACCCTCACTGCACACTACACCTGTCAGATGCTTCCTCTTTCCATTTCCACCCAGACCTCATGTAACTGCTCTAATAGCATTTTTCACTTGTCCAGCATGGCACTGAATCTTGCTCTTAGTGCTTCCTTTGAAACTGAAGCAGCAACTTTCTGTTCTAGCTTTTTGTTGGCAGTATGTCCAATCTGTTTTTCTGCACAATGTCCATCCTTAGTTCTTCTGTACATTTAGGTCAGCTGTGACTAGAAGATTTTACTGGTCTTTCCTCAAAATTCCTGTTATGGTGCTTAGTACAATACTGCATTGTTATCCAATGACTCTGTCTTCTGTTTACTTCCTCTCATTTACCATAAAATTGAGTTGCTCTCATATCAGATTCTTTTGAATAGGACTTTAAATGAGATTCTGCATTATTATTATTATTATCATCACCATCATCATCACTCTATAAGAGTGCAGTGATATCATTGTGCAGCACGTCAAATCAACATTCTACAAGGCAATTCTAAAAATGGGGACACCCTAAACAAAAATTGTAACTATGGATCTTGTGGGTTTGTTTAGTCGTTAAGTCGTGTCCGACTCTTCATGCCTACATGGACCAGAGCACACCGGGCCCTCTTGTCTTCCACTGCCTCCCGGAGTTTGGTCAAATTCATGTTAGTAGCTTCAATGACACTGTCCAACCATCTCATCCTCTGTCGTTTCCTTCTCTTGCCCTCACGCTTTCATAACATCAGGGGCTTTTCCAGGGAGTCTTCTCTTCTCATGAGATGGCCAAAGTATTGAAGTCTCATCTTCAGGATCTGTCCTTCCAGTGAGCACTCTGGGTGCTCTGTCTTGGGTGGCCCTGCACGGCATAGCCCATAGCTTCACTGAATTACCCAAGCCCTTTTGCCATGACAAGGCAGCAGTCCATGAAGGGGAACTATGGATCAGCACCATCTATTGACAATCAGTCTCATATTACATCTTCCTACTGCCTCTTTCCACTTTTCACAGAAAAATTGTCTTTTCTAGTCAGGCCTGTATTTCCATAATACGTACATGTATGGATAGCCTCAGTTTACTCATTTTTGCAGTATTGAGAGTTTAGGCTTGACTTGACTGAGCACCCACTTTTCTGCCTTCATGCTGTTTGTGGTATCTGTAAGGCTCTCCCACAACACCATATTTCAAATTAGTTGGGTTTTGTCCCTATCTTTCTTCACTTTCTTTCTTTGATATTGTTATGGATGATTTTGGCCTTGGTTTCCAGTGACAATCTAAGCTCCTTTTTCTTTTTTCTTTTAATTTCAAAAAGCAAGGGGACATCTTTTGGAAAACATGTACATAATGTGTCTGTAGAACCTTTGGTCTGATATAGCATTTCTTCCTCAGATTTCCTAACCCCAGGAAAGGGTTTGGAAACTAGAACATAGCTTTCTAGTCTGTAATCTGTGGAGTGGGCATGACAACATTTGTTTACCCGAGATGTTAAAGGATGTACAGTACATGTTTCATTGATCCTTTTGCTTCACCATTTCATTAAGTCCAAAACAGCCTTTCAAAATATTTTGACACGGAGGGACTACAGCTACATCCTAGCTCTTCTCACTTCTTTCTTCTCCCAGTATAGATCATGTGCTCATCTTCAGGTATCCTCTAGTACTGGATAATTCTACATGAGAGGAGTTTCTTTTGGAATTTGTGTGTACATGTGCTTAGACTTCTGTTTTTAAAAAAATCAGGAAATTCAATTTTTAAAAAACCCCTTTGTTTTATTAATGTGGGATATTTATGCTTCTGTATCTACAATTCAGAATGTCAAGAAATGGCCCGATATTACTGCACAGAATTGTGTCCCCATTGGCAGCAGGTTAAAGGATGCTTCACATAGCAAAGGGCAGCCTGAATGTTGACAACACCAGTGGTAGCAAGATGGCCTACAGGATACTCTGTTGTGCTCACTACCATTCAGATTTGTCAAAACACAGCCCTGGCAGTTGCTTTGTGTTTGGGTGGAAAGTAGCTAACTGATGAAAAAAGCTTATAGGATTTTTCCTTCTCACTTTGTGAAATGAATCTGTTTTATATTTTGGCTGAAATCCTGTTTGCTGAGCTGTGCTGTGTAATGCTGATAATATAATCAAAGCAAATTTTTGCAAATAAAAAAATTCTGAAACCTCCCTTCCCAAACATTCTGAGGCTTCTGTTGAATCCCTTTCATTGTGGGCAAGCTATTGGTGGCTGCAAGATAAGGAAAAGTCCTTCATTTCCAAAAATTGACAGTACTTGGATGACTTAACTGTCAATGTCTATTCTGGGAAATCAAAGACTTTTTCTCATCCTGCAGCCCTAACAGCTTCTCCACAATGATTGTATGGCCGAAATCCTGTTACTTAGCATAATAAGGCACACTGGAATAGGCCAACTGAATCAGTAAAGATCTGGTGAGTCATCTCCTCTGTAGGTTCCATTGATTCAAATTGGCCTATTCTAGTTGTGAATTATTTTAGTGTAGCACGTTGCAACTAGAATAGGCCAGTGTGAATCAATGGAACTTATAGAAGTGTTGACTCAATCTCCACTGATTTGTTAGGTTCTCTTAGGATATGTGTAAAGTGTGGGGCCTTAGAATTAAAGGACAGCTAATTATGTTTTAAAGTAATCTTCCACAGTTTACTTTTTTGCTAAGTGTCACGTTTCTGATATACCTAACAAACTTGCAGAACTATGATGTGCTATTGTAGAATCTGGGCCAGTGTTCACTGGACTTGTTCTTTTCTGAAATGGATGCACACTGCTCCTATAGCTATGACTCCTGTTCTTTGTTACATAACTAATATAATAGCTCAAATACTTTTGAATCCTCTATGAATGTTGCCACCTTTTTTTCTGTGCAGGGGAAAGTAGAAGTGGAGGCAGGAAAAGAAGGAATGAAGTTTGAAGCTGGTGCTTTCTCTTATTATGGAGTGATGGCTCTCACAGCATCGCCAGGTAATTGTTCAGCTTCTAAAATATTCTAGAAGAAAAATCCTCTTCTGCTGGGGTTAAAATTGCAAGAGAAACTAGTTCAGGGTTCATTGAAATCTGGTGAGAGCAGTACCCCACTGTCAACATAAACAGCTTGAAAGATCTAGAAGACATGACACAGATGAAGGATGCAGTATGTTATCTACATCTGCTTGCTTGCTAAAAATCTGCTGTTAAACCAAAACATTTTTAAAAATCTTCCTGGTCTGTCACTGTAATTTTCAGTAAATTAGTCTGTCTTGTTAAACACTGTGAACTATTTGGTTCACATTTTGCATGGCAAAGGATAAGAGATTTACACTGGATGGGGAGCGGAACTGCACTGTAGTGGTGTTTGCTTATATTAAGTGGATCTTAGTCCTCTCTGAATTTTCTGAATATTAGATTGTTCAAATACTTTTGCCAGGTTTCCTATAATGAAGTTTCTGTGTAATGAACCTCTTCCTCATATGCTGTGGGTTTATGTGTGCATTACACTGCTCAGCTTTTCCCCCCTGCAGGCAAAAGTCTAATGTTATCCTGGACCTAGAACACTGTTCCATTAGAGGAAGGCCGTCTAGGCTGTCTTGGTACTGATTTATTTCTGTCTTTAGAGCTAGGTTTGCAGGTTCACAATTTACTTTTAATACAGAAAACAAGGGCTTAAATACAGTAGCCAAAATCCTATTGCTTAATATATAGTAAGTCACAACTAGAGTAGACCCAGTCAGTCCGTGAATTTCATGAGTCATTCCATTGATTCCATGGGCCTATTCTAGCTCAACTTACTACGCTAAGCAATAAGATTTCAGCTAATGTGTGCCTAAGTTCGAAGAGACAGTTTCGTCTCTTAGATGCCTTTTGTTTGTACACTTTATTGGGATAATACCTTAAAAATGTTTTTATTTCATAACTTGGAAGAGGTAAAAAATGCCTGCCAGCCACTTTTCCGGATGGTCCAATATTACAGTAGCAATTGATGGGCTTTGTTTTCATCTTGTATGTTGCTACAAACATGCCATCAGTCCATGGTATTGTCTTCATGTCTGGTATAATCTAGAATGTTTCAGGGAGGATGAATTATTGAAGGATGCGTAGACATTGCTGTAACTATATATTACAGCTAACTGTAGCACCCGAAAGACAGAACAATTAACTATTCTTCCATGTCTGAAAAATAAAACGATGGTAACATGGAATGTTGATTTTTGCAGGGTTAATTAGCTATTCACACGGCTAAGAAATAAATTGTACTGAAAGCCATTTCTTGCTAAGACACACAGAGTGGATGCATTAGTAGGAATATCACACCTTTAAAATTATCTATCATTATGTCTTGTACTGTTTATCCCTTATTTCTGTCTTGTTAAACTGTTTTTTGTGATATCTGATAGGATACTGTAAGATTAACTTCATTTTCTATTGCTATGATTATTAGTGTTAGTAGCAAGGGGCATTAAAAGTTTAGTGACTTGTCATTTCTTACATGTTATTTTTATTAATTTTCAGACCACTGTTCATTGTTGTTTTATTCTTTCATTGTTTCTTCTAGTTTGATTTTTAATTTTTTTTATTCCTTCACTGTACCCAAATCTAACCCTCTCCTTTGTCAACTGTCAGTATCGGCAACCTTTCGGATACTGATCTCATCTTTTTTTCCTCCCTCTTCTAGTTTCCTTGTCCCTGTCTCGTACCTTTGTTGTCAACAGAACAGAATTATTAGCAGCAGGTACACCAGGTAAACTTGCATGCTTCTTGTTCACCCTTCTTGTAACCACACTTACCAGGTGTAATCCAGAATAATTTATATTTACCTTATAATTTTTTTATGTTCAAAAGATGAATGAGAAGCTTAAGCCTCACTGCACTGAAGTTTGTGATTAGTTAATAGCAAGCAAAAGGAAAGTGAAACAAAGGTAAACATTTGAAATTTGCTTGCTTATAGAAGAATCGTCCTTGATTACTAACACTGACCTCTTAAAACACATCAATGCACAATATTGTTTTTACTTACGCAAAATACCCCACCATGCCAGTTTCTGTGTAGTCCTCATATGACAATGTGATTACCCAGACTCCGGGCATCTAGAAACACCTGGGAAGACTAGGAGCAACAGTGGCCCCCAACTCATTTACTGTAGTTGTCTCTTCACTGAGTGATGGCATGTAATGGCTCGGATCAGTTTCTTCCGGATTGCACAATGCAAAGGATTTCTGTAATGAGCTCTGTGAGCTATTCCCTCTTTGCCAGTTTTCAAATCTGCCTCAAAAGCCAAAGGACGAAGAGCAAAACATCCAAAATTCATCAAGTGGAAACATGTTTTTGTAGATACAGTTTAAACCTTATTCAGTAAAAGAGTTAGTCCCACTCTCCCCATCCTAGCAGTCTTTTAACATGTGGAGTAGCATCACACAATCAGACAGTCTCTGGTTTTCCAGGTTCTCAGGTTGCCTGCAGAGCACCTATGGACAGAGATTGTGCTTTTCCTCAGATTTAGTTCTCTAACTGCAGGATGTAGGATAGAGAGGAGTGAGACTAGTCTGGTTCCTAAGCTTACAAATTAAGACTAACCCTTTTATTGAAACTCTGAATAGTGTTATTGTTACTTGGGTTGGGCAGGTTATATCTACCCTGCCATTTAGAAATCTTTCTGACTTTAAAAGTAGTACACAGAGGAATCAGTGTATTCTGAGTAATACACTTGGAATACACTGAGAGCCAGTGTAGTATGGTGGATAGAATGGGGCTCAGGAGACCTGGATTCAACTTGAGAATGGAAACTCACTGCGGAGTAGCACTGGTAAAGCCACTCCTTAAATATCTCCCATACCTCCCATACTAGGATTGCCGTCGATCAGAATTGACTTGAAGAGGCATAATGCACACACTTGCCTCCCAGGACTCTACTTGGATGTTTCAGCTCTATCCTCTTCTACAGCTACAGTATTTCCTTAAAGAAAGTTTCTAGGCTTCTTGGAATTGCAGTCCTGGGTTACCTAAGGTTAGGAACCACTATCTTAGTACAGCATTTTCATGTTAACAGTCATAGCATGTCCCCATTTGTTCTGTTGTACAACATATGTCATCTCCTTGAGAGCCATTTTGTCCAGATGATCTCCTCTATATTTATGATTCAGATTTCAGAATCCAGATATGTCTTCTGCAGTTGTGGTCATTGCAATTTTTCTCACTTACTTATAGAGCTTTTGCTCATTCAAAGAAGATACTCCTACATTTCTGCTTTTTTCTCAAGTGCATGTTAATATTTTTGGAAATTTTAAAGTGGTTCAGTTCATCACAATCATTAACTAGCATGTTTTTCTTTTTAGGGACATAATAACAAATTGCCCAGTATGGAAACAGTTAGTATGAAGAAGTGCAACTGGGACTGGTACTGCTGAGAGAAATTAGTAGGTTCAGATTACAGTAGAGCAGATTTGAATTGGGTAGTGGTCGTATTTATTTGTATGTACAGTGGGGTCTTGACTTGAGAACTTAATCCGTATTGGAAGGCGGTTCTCAAGTCAAAAAGTTCTCAGGTCAAATCTGCATTTCCCATAGGAATGCATTGAAAACCATTTGATCCGTATCTGCTCTTTTCCGTCCATAGAAACTAATGGGAAGCTGCTATTCCGTCTTCGACCACTAGAGGGGGATATTTTGTTTCTTTTTTTTTTTTCTTAGGTCAAGAAAGTTTCAGGGAAGGCAGGGAAAAGACAGTCCAGGCAGTACAAGTACCAGGCAGTCCGAAGACTGTCTCCCAATCCACTCTCTAAACGCTGGGAGGAGTGAGGAAGCAGACAGGCACCCTTTTCACTGGGCAACAGTTAACTGAAAGTTCAAATTTTGCACTTTCCCTGCTTCCCACGTGGTTTTTTTTTCAGTTCTTAACTCAAATCTAAGTATGTAAGTCAAGTCAATATTTTCCTATGAGAGTGGTTCTTAAGTCAAAATGTTCTTAACTCAAGCCGTTCTTAAGTCAAGACCCCACTGTACATAGATTTAGGAACAGGGAACTTTTGCATTTGGGATTTTCATGATAATTTTTGAAAAACTGTCAAGAATTCAGGCATAGGAAATCTTTTACCAAAAAAGGGCTGTGTATTTGAAGACACATTTAACCCATAAGATACCTTGTACAGTGGTGCCTTGATAGATGTTGAACAGCATTGGGGAGATGATCGACCCCTGTGGGACCCCACAATTGAGGCTCCACGGGGCCGAGACAGCCTCCCCAAGCTGTACTCTCTGGGGGCGGTCCTCCAAGAAGGAGCGGAGCCAGGCCAATGCGAGGCCACCAATTCCCAACTCGGAGAGCCTCCCCAGGAGGATACCGTGGTCAATGGTATCAAAGGCCGCTGAGATATCGAGGAGGACCAGCAGAGACACTTTGCCCCTGTCGGCCTCCCTCAGTAGGTCATCACACAGGGCGACCAATGCCGTTTCTGTTCCATGGCGCGGCCTGAAGCCCGACTTCAAGCACTCTCTGGGCAGTTTGCAAGTTAATTATGCAGGCTACACATTGCCCCCCCCCCAGCAAGCTGGGTACTCATTTTACTGACCTCATAAGGAGAGAAGGCTGAATCAACCTTGAGCCAGGTCGTGAATTGAACCCCAGGTCGTGAGCACAGTTTTGGCTGCAGTACAGCGGTTTATCCACTGTGCCATGAGGCTCTTCTACAAACAGCTCCGTTCACAAAATTTTGCTTTCACTTGCAAACGGAGTTTGACTTACGAATGAAAAAAAGGCAAGGGAAAGGGCGGGAAATTTAAATGTACTAACCGTTGGTGGCAAAGAGGCTGCTTCTTTGTAGCTCTTTCACCCCAACGGTTCGGGAAAGGGATGCGGCGGTGGGGGTGGGGGTGGCCCAGCATCGGGAGGCTTGAGCCTGGCCGGGTTGCTTTGGCCGCTCACCTTCTGGCTCGCCTCCTGCTCGCTCCTTGCTGCCCTCCGCAGACCAGTGCTGCCACTGGTGACCGACACAGGCTCCAGCTCTGGAACTGGCACCAGCAGCTGCTCATTGGGGCAGCCATGTAGGTCCTCGGTGCTCCTCACCACCCTCCGCCATTTGAATTTTCCGCCATGGGACTTGCTCCAATGTTTATTTTTGGATTTTTTTTTATTAATTTTTTGCAGTCCCAGAGTGGGACTTGCTCTGTTTATTTTTATTTTTATTTTTATTTTAAATGCTAGAACGGATTAATCCCGTCCCCATGCATTTCAATGGGAAATGGTGCTTTGACTTATGAACGTTTTGATTTACGAACATGTTGTGGGACGGATTAAGTTCGTAAGTCAAGGCACCACTGTATTTGGCATTTTATAAACTCATGCATTCTGTGGTTTTGATACAATCATCATCATCATCATCTTAGAGCTGCAGAGCTGGAAGAGACCCTATGGATGATCGAGTCCAGCCGTTGTCAAGGAGGAACAGTGGGGAACTGAACTCCCAACCCCAGATACCTAAAACACAGAGCTATTCAGCAGTTCTGTTTGTGTGTCTTTTCTGTAGTGTTCCCACTACCATCAGCATATTGTCAATTTTGGGGAGACTTACCACCTTACTATCTTGAAATCAATGCAAGGTGCATGGAAAATGATTCACATTTAAAAATGAATTCTTATTTTGCAGCTGTTTGTTTTCTTTCTAGAGTGCTCAAGTGTACTGTACATCCATATCTCCTCAGCTTACCACCCCCACCCCACTTCCCCCAATAACTCTAGGAGATGTGATCTGGAGAATGAATTTGCTTTTAGTCATTCAGTGAATGTCATGGCTGAACAGGCATTTGAAAGTGGGCCTTCTGACTGAAGTGCATCACTTCAACCACCATAACACACTGCTCCTCAGCAATTGTTAGTATAAGAGACAAGTGAATCTTTCCTTGGTCTTTTTTAGCCATTGGGAATAGATGGAAAGTCGTAAACAACTACTGAGTTCTCAAGGTGATCAGAACTGCTATGTAGACAAAAGTGTCCAGATAGAAATTAATATAAAACACAAAAGTAAAAACAAAGAAATAAAAATATGAAAAGGAACAAAAAATGTTGTGGCACCTTAAAGACTAGCTGTTATGTTTCAGTGTGAGCTTTCATGGATACATAGACTTTGTGATAGTGGAATGAAGCAAAACCACAGGTTATATACAAGGTAGGCACAGGAGATGGATTTGGAGGATGACAATAGCACTATAATGGACAATAAGAACGTTGTTTTCCTTGGATAGTCCCACACTTCCATTGAGGTGTAAAGTGGCAGGAGCCTCAGTCAAGGCTGAGAGTCCATTACCCTGTGGTTTTGCTTCACTCTAAAATATATGAAGAAGTGGATGTACCTACAAAAGCTCATGTTGAAATATAACAGGTGATGCAACATTTTTTGTTCTTTATTTCTTTGTTTCTGTTTTGGTTTTTGGTTTTTATTTTTGTCTGAATATGATTGCACAGAATAACATGGCTACTTCTTTGAAAACTATACAGTAATTCAAAAGATTTTTCTGAATCTATGACATACGGTAACACTTTTGCTAGACTTTTCTGTTTTCATATAAGCATTCTCACATGTTAGGTGACATTCTTCTTCTTCATGGTCTCTGTGAATCATACATTTTGGTTGCCTCCTGAAATTCTGTAAGATTGTTAAGAAGCTGACTTCATGGTCTTGATGTGTATCTTTTAGGAATTATACTAGCATATTTACTTATAGAGAATGAATGAAAAAGGACTGGCATTG